ATGATGATGCATACAATGGACTCCGGATTAGGTGCGTTCCTCTATTCTTCCTCCCAATATGACCAATTGCGAAAACAAAGTCAAACAACTTCTATACAACGAAAGGAGACTGCGCCCACACAAAAAGCCACATTGTCTTGGTCTTCATACCTTCGAAGAATATCTATTATTCACAAGAATCTCCTCGATAAAAAATGAAATGAATTGAAATATGAGTAAGCAGAGTCGAGCATGATTGAAAAACTAGTCAAGAAGGTTTATGGAAATGTGAAGACTTATGCCTGCCAAGGTTTCCTTTCGCTGGATAGACTTGATGTGAACCCCATTCCGAATTTTAGTTGTATCTACCATCAAAATTGGAAAGACATATTCTTTTTTGGGCACTCTATCAAAGATATTCTCTCTTGTTCCTACCAGACCATTAACAAGGTACATTACGGCAGGATGCATAACTAGGCATACGAGCAGAGATTTTGGTTGCAGCCGTTTGTTGTGGATATACCAAATACCTCTTAGATTTTTATATGATGCTGTGGCAGACAATTGGCTGGAGGCACCTACATCAAATGAGAGGGCTGGATTCGTCATTCGTGAGTTGTACAGAATGGCAGCATAGTTGGCTATGTAGAGCATGATGAAGACGATTGTAAAGCTCCACCAGCCGAAAAGAAGCAGTCGACCCGAACAGAAGTTTGGCAGCTTGCTTGGCAATCCCTGAAGCAGAGTGCCGATTTGGCTGGTGGCGTAGTGAGCCACAATGTGGCGGTTGAGCATGCCGAAGGTGCTGTGATGAAGAAAAAGGAGCATGCCGAGACAGACAAGTAGGGCGGCAACAAACACGATCCACACGCCATAATGATAGACCGTCAAGAAACTTATAAGACTGTCCCAACGAATGCTGTTCTGAGTGTTGTAGAGCAAGGCGATGGTGAAGAAGTGGAAGTTTGAGATCACCTCAAACATGTCGGAGTAGCTGGTCTGTCGTATGATGTAGCCTATCGCCAGATCAGCTTTCTGTGTAGGGAATGAGAAATTAATAAAAAAATAATTGCCTAAATGACAGGAGTAAGCAGAGATTAGTGAACATAGTCAACTTCAAACAATTGAAGCAGTCCTTCGATGTGGATGAATATGAAGCTGTTGTCTGTAAGGACATTCCGAACCCTATACCAGTAAGGGTATGCTGCAAAACCATCAATAGTTCCTGAAGAAAAAATTAGTCACTCTATGTCGCCCCTTGCCTCCCAAACTTATATGGCATCGTAAGGCCTATTAATATCATTATTAAAAATGTAGCTATCAGTAATTAAAGTAAGTGAATATGATCAGCAAATTAAGTATAAACCGGTCAGCCAGGCGACTATTTCAGTGACGTCATATATATTTTACTGTAACATTGTGACCAATTCACAGTAACTCTTACAGTGTGCCACTTTTGCTTATCCGCTACTCACAAGTAAATGAGCAATTGGTTTGGCTATTCCAATGAATTGTATTGCTCGCAGGTTAGCAAAACAATTTTCTAATCTGGCTGGCTTGCAGTCAGACTCAGACTGGGAGACTCAGAGGCATTACAGAAATGTAAAAAAATGAAATGGTTTAACCAATTGATAACACTTTATTGGTCAGCCAGACCTGGTGACGACGCATTATGAGCCAAAAATACTTTTAAGACAAGAATTTGGGACAGGAAAATGGCAAACTCAAAAGCATTCCTACTTTTTATTATCAAAGTTACGTTTGGGAATGTACCACGTCAACGGGTCAACTTTGGAAATGATCATGCAGACAATGGACTCCGGATTAAGTGCGTTCCTCTAAGTCTTCCTACCAATATGACCTCTTGATTCTGGAACTATGGATCTCTTTAAGAAGGGGTTACATTTTTCCCTTAGTGAAGAAGGAAATGTTCTTAGTGATAATCTGGTGGAAGTCGTCAACATAACGGGTAAATATCCAGAAGAGACAAGGCGGGAGATGGAAATGAAAACAATCCCACTGATCCTGACACATTAAGAACTGATACACAGGAGCAGATTGGCTGGTATACGGAAAAAAATTTACAAAAGAAGGATCAAATGGTTCTTGAAGCGAATAAGGGAGGAGCGACGATTGTACTGGACAGGAAACAGTACAGGGAGAAAATGAAAAGGATCTTAGGCGATCGGAACACTTATTAAATATTAAGGAAGGATCCAACCACGAAGATCAACGGTACACTCAAGAATATTCTCAAGGAAATGCATACAAATGGGGAAATTGACAGATGGATTATGAAACCTTTGATCAAAAATGACGCAAGACCACTGACAGCCTACGGACTACCGAAGATACACAAGGTAGGGAATTCTCTAAGGCTAATAGTCAACAACAAGCATTAAGCAATGCATAAACTAGCGAAATTTACTTGCTTGAAGATCAAGAAAGTAAATGACAGACAGAATTCTTATGAATTTTCTCAAAGATGGCAGAACATTGGGTTGGTAGGAACTGAACTGTTGGTGAGTTTCGATGTACAATCCATGTATACAAACATCTCAGGCGAGAAGGTGGTAAGTGCCTTGCTGGAGATATTGGAGCGAGAAGAGGACATTCTGG